ATTGGTGTTTTTATTCTTTTTACAGAACAAAATTATCTCTAACGTTTCTAAAGTTAGGAAAGTTTTAGTAACATCCCTTACGTAAATATTTTCAAAAAATAACAAGAAGCCGTAAAGCTCGCTTAAATAGCCGTGGTATGCATGGTAATCTCACATTAGACATGTAATCTAGACATAATCCAACTTTTTTAGGGTCTTTTATGCATTTCTCTGTGATCTTATTTTGTTGTAAAACTTTTTAGCCCTCCTATTGTGGACCATAAGCTCTGCTATTGCGTGTCTTTTCTCATTGTCATTAAGAAAAGGACTTTATATTTTTAACTCAAGTTCCTCACAGGTAACAAATGCATCTTTTGCAGGTTGACCAAAATGTAAAGAGTAATTTTCTTTGAAATAATTCCAGAAAAATTTATATGACAGTCTTTTCTCACTGCCAAGTGTAGTTAAAAGAAAACATTTCTGTTTGTTTAGAAACATCTCATACATGGTTTTTACGCCCAAATTAGCTGGTAAGTATTCTTTATCTCTTCCAGTATAGTGTTCAGTTTCTGTAGGATACTGTTCAATATGAGTTCAAACGAGTGATTACAGAGTGCCAGGAATGGTATTAACAGAAACATTTCTACCTCTTTTATCTACTGGAGTTTTGCTTAGCTGTAACAGATGCGAGAGCCTGTAACACTGTTTGGAAGTATATCAGTATGATTTCATAAATTCATTTTTATATATCTTAGTTCGAACCCCATTGTGCATAATATGCTACTTCACCATGAAAGATTTAGGTTTTGCTGAAGAAGAACCTGGTCTAGATCTTTGACGGTTAACTGGGAAAATCTCTATGAGTGACTGCAAGTAGATGTCTTGTTGAGTTTTGGTTTCCATATCGTGTAGCTTGGTAAATATTTATCTGCCGTGTAAATATCATCCGCCGGTAAATATCATCCGCCGTGTAAATATCATCCGCCGCGTAAATCTTCAAACAGTTTTCATTGCAACTGAAATAAAAAAGAAAAGGTTGGGCCTTTCAATGCCAAAGCAATTTTTATATTATGATCAAAATAACACAACTCCATATTCCATAACTTGCGGGGTTCCTGAGGGCTCAACTTTAGGACCACTCGTATTTCTATTGTACATAAATGACTTATACCTAGCAACAAATCTTTTAGACCTAATTTTGTTTGCTGATGATTCCAATCTTTTTTATTCTCACAGAGATATTAAAACACTTTTTAAAATAGTTAATGAACAGTTATGTAAAGTTAATGAATTATAGACTACTAATTGGTTACATGAAATTAGACTACTAATTATAATTCATTATAATTACATGATAGTTACATGAAATTAGACTACTAATCTATAATTCATTAACTTTACAGTTATGTAAAGTTAATGAATTATAGACTACTAATTGGTTACATGAAATTAGACTACTAATTGGTTACATGGCTTTATTTATTGAGTTTTAGTTAGTTCTAAGGTAACCTAGCTTGTTCAAAAATCATAAATGCAAAATTTTATAACACATAATCAAACACAACGATCAGAAACCTACAAGTGTTGTGCATTTTCCTCAGCTGATTTATTTTATGCAGAAGACACATATAACTTTTAATTAAAAATAACAGCATATAACAGTAATTAAAAAGCTTTCTAGATAAACAATACTGAAATATTATAACAATTATTACAAACAAATTGATAAAAACTTACCTGCAAACATTAGATCTTGGTTTCTTAGTTGGTATTGTTTTTCTAACCATGTTTATACGTTCATTTCCTGCCGCTTTAGCTTTCTTAATTACATTCCTTTTATATCGGTCTGAATTAATAACTCCTTTGTTTCTTCTCTTTAGAAACAAAAGAATACGGAGAAGTAACTTAATGGTTGTAGCTTATCATTGTTTAAAATTTAAAACAACTGATAAAAAATCTTGGATAAAAACCATAAAATAGTCTTTCTTTAAATAAAAAATGTACAATTACAAAAATGTTTTATATTTAAAGTATATGAAAAAAACAACTAAAAAGCCCCTTCCCCCAACCTCTTAAATATACATGTGATTGCAAATGGTTAAAATCAACTCTTCCCATCATTTTTATCAAAAAACAAAACATAATCTAAGTAGATATATCAAGCTACAAAATTAACTCTGATGGTATTTTTGAAATTTCGTTAAGTAACCCTGCCCTTACTATAAATGCAAAAACTTGAATTTTTCAAGTTTTTGCATTTATAGTAAGGGCAGGAGCCAAATTTTCATCTGCACTGGTGGGGGAGTTTTTTTCTATATGGAAAAAAAAGTATTACTATTTTAAGTTAATACAAGTAAAAGTTAATCTTTTGCCCCTGGTCATTTCCGAAAAAATAAAATGTGCTTTTTAGTCATATCTCTAGTGTTGATATTAGTCTGATAATGAATTTAGGAAAACTAACAACATTTGATTTAAAAAAGTCCCTAATTTTGAAGTAATTATTATTTGTGAGTTTGTGCTAAAAAAAAGATCACCTTTTTAATTTTTAAAGTGCTTTAATTTAACATTGTTATGGAAAATAACATACGTCTAAAGATTTTATATGATCTAGTTTTATTTGCGTTCTTGCTCGTTAAACTGTGTGTTTTAAACAAGTTCAGTGTCACTACAGAATAATTGGTCCTCCTAAATTATAAAATTATGTTAAATTTCAAAATTGAATGTCGTTGTTTATCTGCATCTTCAGAGGTTTAAAACTTTTTGTTTTGTTTTAAAGGTTCTAATCCTCCACATCCACATAAACATAATCATTATATATTTATAGTTTCCAGATAAAATATGTTTAAAACGCAAGTTTTGTAAAAAAGTATAACTTTACTAAACAATCAACAACTAGTATGTTCAAAGATTGATATAACATTAATGAAAAGTTGTCTGTTTCTAACAACAAATTTACGACTTCCACATGAAAATAATGTTTTCGGCTTGTTTATAGGTTCCAAAATCTTTTTTTTTTTCAAATATTTAATTACCTTTAAACGATTGAAAAGTAAAATTAAAAGGAAAAAAATTTTATCCAATGAAATTTTGAAATTAGATTCTAGCTTAAATAACCTGTCACGTGAATTCTGTCGTGAATCCTGACGTGAATCCTGTTGTGAATCGTGTCGTGATTATTTATCGAAATTGGCACTAAATTAGCTAATGAAGTTTCTCTTTACCCCAGCCGCCTTTAATGATTTCTTAGTACCAAATGGGTGATTGCAACTGTTCCAAAGAAATATACTTAGAATTATCTTTTGATGTTTTCGAAACCGCCTTTAAATCACTAAAAAAAAAAGCTGTCAGAGCTGATGGAACTAATGGTGACATAATTATCGAGTGTTTTGATCATCTTAGAGATATTCTTTTTAATGTTTATTAATGATCTGTCCACAATAAAGTTTTTCCTGATCAACTAATAATTGCAAACTTTATTCCGATTTTGAAAGAAAGAAACTGTTACAATATCAGTAACTATTGCCTTATAACTATCCTTTCTACTTTTTCAAAAATCTTAGAGCGTGTTATGTACAATATAGGGTATATAATTACCTGTTTTCCAATAATCTTTTATGTAATTGTCAATTTGGTTTCAAAAAAAAATAATTCCACTGAACATGCAATCATCCAATTTGTACGAGTAGTATCAAATTTCTTCCAAAGATCCCAATTTACATTAGGTGGTATCATTGACTTGTCTAAGGGTTTCGATACTGTCGACCATGAAATCCTGCTCGAAAAAACTAAAATACTACGGAATAAACAGAATAACTTTAAAATGGCTTCGAAGTTACTTATCAAACCGCAAACAAATCTTTTAGGTAGGTTTCTACTTTAAATAATTTTAAAATAAAAAACTTGACCAAAAATGTTTTTGTTTCTGATAAAACTTATCTTTTTCAAAAACGAATCGGGAAACTTTGAAGATGGAGCATATATTTTAAAGCATTGTGATGTAAAAACTAATTTTTTAAAGCCTTAAGAAGTGCTTTTAACACACATTACTTTGGAAAAAAAAATTAATATCACTTAACTGTACTAAGTCTTCATTATAACACCTAAATCATATTTTTAACATTTTTAAATATAATCCATGGAAGTATTAAAAAATTGATACTTTAATTAATAAAAAATATAAAAAAGAGGTTGCTTTAAATATTGAAAAATTGCATCCATGATTCAATTGTATTCTTGGGCCAACGTAATATAGTTTTCAGACGTCATTGTGATGGTTTCCAACATTATCCTATTGTTGGCAGTATTATTTTGTTAATGGAGTAGGAAGTTTCAATAAACTTTTAGTTTTTAGAATTCTGATTATATAATTTGAAATTCTGGTGGGTCTAAGGTTTTTGAACATTACTTATCAGTTGTACAAAGAATGCATCTTTTGAATGAATTAATACATCCAGAATACATATTGGTTTCCAATGTGAAAAAATATCAATTTTTTTAGTAACTTTTCAACTTCAAATTATTTTAGGAACAGATTTTCCATTTGTAATTTATTTTGGAGCAGAACTTAATTTGTAGGAAAAGTATTGGTTATTGAAAATATTTGTTTACCAGATTTTTTTTTTCTGGCTTATCCATCTGTGACGGATCCAGGGGGAGGGGGAAGAGGGGGATGATGGGTATGCATCCCCATTCACCAGAATCTGAAATTCCTAAAATATCTTAGAAATTTAGGCCCTTTTTTTTAGGAGTTGCAAATGTAATACAAAAATATTTCAACATCCACCCACCCCCTCATTCCCTCCAAACCCACTCCCTTCCCCACCACAACAGTGACGGATCCAGAAATTCTGGATCCGTCACTGTTATCCACAACTATTTTTTGGTTTATATTCATACAAAAAAGACATAAAAAGGGAAGACGTAAAGTTCGTAAATCAAAAGTGAAATAAGCTTTTTTTGTCATAATGAAAATTAGTGTCTTAAAAAAAATAGCGCAACAATTAGGTTTAACATGTTAACCGTTGTACATCAAAATTTATGCTGCGAAAAAGTAAATGAAATTTCTACAACTATCGGAAACCAGGCTTTAAAGTCGCTGCAACAACCTTGACAACAAACAAATAAAAGGTTTAGTTAATGTTTGACAAAAAATAGTTTAAAAAAAAAAAAAAAAAAGATATAAATGCTTAAAAATACATGTTCGAATAAATATCAGTACATTATTATACTTTAAATTTATTTAAATCATATGTTTTAAATTATAAATATAAATAAGTTTATTTTATTTATTTGTTTTAATATTATTTATTCTTCTTACATGTTTAAAAGAACTCTTTTACAATAAGTTTTGAATATTTATTCCAGAAATTTGTGTGTGTGTGTGTGTGTGTGTGTGTGTGTGTGTGTGTGTGTGTATATATATATATAAATATAAATATAAATATATATATATATATATATATATATATATATATATACATATATATATATATACATATATATATATATATATATATATATATATATATATATATATATATATATATATATATATATATATATATATATATATATATATATATATATATATATATACATATATATGTATATATATACATATATATATATATATATATATATATATATATATATATAATATATATATATATATATATATATATATATATATATATATATATATATATATATATATATATATATATATATATATATTATGTGAGTGTTTTCTACAGAGTGCTCAATGTTTTTAAAGAACAGAACAATAAATAAAATAAATACTAGATTTTAGATCTAGATTTTTCTTCTACAAATTTTTTCTCCATCAGTAGGTTCATCAGGAAGCTTCGCGATGAACCTACTGATAGAGAAACAATATGTTGAATAAAAATCTAGATAAGTGTTTGTACTAATTTATATATATATATATATATATATATATATATATATATATATATATATATATATATATATATATATATATATATATATATAAAAGTTTATGAATTCATGGTGGCCATAGTCCTGGAATGTCCTGGATTTTTGCTAGTGTCCTGGAATGTCCTGTAATATACTGGAAAATTACATTTTTTTCAAAAATGTCCTGAAATGTCCTGGAACTTTTTTTTTTTCTGAGTCAAGTTAAAAAATTACTAATAATATTGAAGTAATATTAAATTTTTTGTGCAAAAGTTTTTTTTATATAAATGGTTTAAATTTAATTTTAAATAAGGAGTAATAATAATATAATAATATAATATTCTATTCTATAATTCAATCAATATGAAAAAAATATAACGTAAAGATAATTGACAATATTCTTTTTTTTTTTTTTTTTTTTTTTTTTTTTTTTTTTTTAACATCTTCACTTCCAACAAGGCTGCAAGCAACCACTATAAGAGTTGGAAGTTACTGGAAGAGAAAAGACTAAATCTGTAGAGCAAGATAACGATTGACTGATGACTTAAAAGATTGCAAATTATATGAATCAGGAAAGCAAGATGAAGGAAGCGAATTCCAAAGAACTGATGTTCGAGGAAAAAAACTAGAAGAATAAGAGTTTTTGAAGCACTTAGGAACAGTCACAGAAAAAGGATGAGACTTAATTGAATGGCGGGTAACACGAGAATGAATTTTAGTAGATGGCACAAGAGACGCTAGCTCTTTAGAGCAGTGCCCATTATAGTATTTGTAGAAAAGAGAAAGAGAAGCAACATTACGACGATGTGACAAAGGTTGGAGATTGGCTGCCAGAGCAGGTCCAACTATGTTTACAATTCGTTTTTGCACCTTGTCTAAAAGAGAAAGAGCATCATTAGAAGATCCGCCCCAGATGTGGCAACAGTATTCCATACAGGGACGGATTTGAGATTTATAGAGATAGAGAATAGAATCTGGAGTAAGAAAGTGTCGAGCTCGATAAAGAGATGCAACCTTAGCAGATGCTAATTTTGCAATGGATTTGATATACGGTTTAAAAGAAAGATCAGAAGTAAGAGTTAATCCTAGAAGATGAATGGTAGATGACTCATCTAGTACATTACCATTCATAAATATAGGAAGATCTAAATTATTACGATAACAATTGGCCGAATAAAATTGAGTTTTATCTGAATTAAAGTTCACCAGCCACTGTGAGCCCCATGCTGTAGCAGAAGTGAGATCCTTTTCAAGCTCAGATACCCCCTCCAAGCAATCAGAGAGTGTAGGCTTCTTATCATGACAAGAGTAAATGGTAGTGTCGTCAGCGAATAATGCCACCTTAGATGTGAGAATATCTGGAAGATCGTTAATGTAAATTAAAAAGAGTATAGGGCCAAGGATTGAACCTTGAGGAACCCCTGAAGTTACAGGATGTGAAGAAGAGTGTTGTCCATCGAGGACAACTTTTATACTACGATTGGAAAGAAAGGACTCAATAATCTTAAAGACGTTACCAGCTACACCATAAGAAGAAAGCTTATGGAGAAGACCAGCATGCCAAACTTTATCAAAAGCTTTAGAAATGTCAAGTGCGATAGCCTTAACCTCTCCACCTCTATCTAATGCACGGTAAAACCTTTCGGTTATTACTGTTAGCACATCAGCTGTAGAACGAGAAGACCGAAATCCATATTGATGATCAGAAAGTAAGTTATTTGATTCAAGATGAGAGATTAAGTGTTTGTTGATTAAAGATTCAAAAACCTTGCTTATGACAGGAAGAAGACTAATGGGACGGTAGTTAGATGAATCAGATCGCTCTCCGGAATTTTTGAAAATAGGGATAACAGATGCTGCTTTCCAGCATGATGGAAAACAAGACTCTGATAAGCACTTGTTAAATAGTTTAGAAAGTATGGATGAAAGCTCCGGAGAACACCTCTGCAAGACTACAACAGGAATGTTGTCAGGACCACAAGCTGTTGAAGAGTCTAAGCAGAAAATTACTTTAGATACAGAAGCTGAAGTGATGCGAATGTCAAGCAAGGGATCAACCTGTTTGACGGCTATGTCAGGTAAAACGCAACTAGTGGAATCAAGAGATGATATTGATGAAAAGTTCTTAGCAAACAATTCAGCTTTGTCTTTAGGTGAGGTGACAAAGTCTGAACCATACAAGAGAGAAGGAATAACAGATTTGCCCTTATTATTGATACTGTTAAAGATTCTCCAGAAGTCTCGAGAGCCTAATTTTTGTGATGAGATACGAGATTTAATGACCTGGGAATAGCGAGCTTTGGCGTCAGACAAAACCTTTTTACAATGGTTTCTGGCGATAGTGAACAGATGTCTGTTTTCTGGAGAATTGTTTTGCTGATAGATATGGAAGTAACGGTTTCGATTAGAAACTGCTGCAGCGCAATGTGAGGAAAACCAAGGAGAAGAGTGAGGCTTGACCTGGAATCGTCGAGAGGGAATAAAAGATTCCATGCCAGCCTGAATCCACGAAGTTATGTAAGAAGCACATTTGTCAGCAGGAAGACGAAAGATTTCTACCCAAGGGCCATCACGAAGAAAATCACGGAAAGAGTCCCAGTCAGCTTTAAGGTAGTTGTATGTGGTACGATGATAGGGGGATTCTGATGAAGTAGAAGAATTTGATAATAGTTTTAGAGAGATCAAACCGTGATCAGAAGTACCTAAGGGTGAATGTGGAGAAATTGAGCACTGACTAGGATCCAAAACAATACATAAGTCGAGTAGAGAAGGTAAATGATTAGGGTTGTCTGGAAAACGAGTTGGAAAGTTGACTATTTGAGTTAGAGATTGAGAAAGGCAAAAGTTGAGGGCCTTAACGCCAGCAGAGTCACTGACACTAGAGCCAAGCCAATCAGTGTGATGGGCATTAAAGTCACCAACAACGACGATATTGGCCAATGGATAAAGAGAGAGGGCTTGGTCAATTTGATCAGAAATAACATCAAGAATAGTGCAATCTTGGGATGAAGGAGAGCGATATAGAACAAAGAGAAAGGTGATAGAGTGAAGTTGTGCTAAACGAAAGCACATAAATGAATAGTCTGTAGATTCAAACCTAGTTTCACGACAAATGGGTGAGTTCTTACGAATGTAGATGCCCAGGCCAAGCATGTGATTATTGGAGTCTTTACGAATTAAAGGAAGATAACCATCAACACTAAGATCACAAGATGGGACAGCCGAACTCAAATTAGTCTCACAAAGAGCAAGTAGGTCTGGTGAACTTTGCAAGAGATAAGACTCAACAGAAGAAAAGTTACTTCGAAGACCACGAATATTAGTAAATGATAGGTTTAGAGAACTTGGTGATGACGATGGTTTTTTGTGTTTTTTAGTTTTAGGTACTTTAGTCATTTTAAATTTATAAAGAACTTGACTCAAGTATAGATAGTACTCAGTACACTATTTAACAACTAAGCAATAGCCTCATTACTATTAATAAACCCTAAGCCGTAACAAAGGGCTCCAAATGTGGCCTCTGCAATGCACACCAAAAGTACAAACAGGGACACCATCCATGCGCAACATGGCACTGTTAGTACTCTGATATTTTTCGGCTGTTGATGGAATCAGCCTCTCTGAGAGCTACCACAGAGTTCGGGAAACCTGACTACCAGCCGGCCTCAGAACCATAAAACTGAGTTTTAGAGCTGTACCCTCATTAGGAGATAATAGAATGAGTTGCCCAGTCATAAAAATAGAGACACAAGCAATACCCACGCATTGAGTCAAGAAGATCCAGCGTTCAACATCCTAAACTGGAAACAATGTATTAAAAATACATCTGCGCCAGCCTAATAGATGAGGTGCGCCTGTATTAAAATGTATTAAAAATACGTATTAAAATGTATTAAAAAAAAAAGGTGCCTGTATTAAAATGTATTAAAAAAAAAAGGTGCAATGTATTAAAAATACATCTGCGCCAGCCTAATAGATGAGATTCATTTAATAAGATATAAAATGTCCTGGAAAATGCAACAAAATGTCCTGGAATGTCCTGGAAATGTCCTGGAATTTAACTTTTAAAATTTTGTGACCACCATGTGAATTACTTTGATATAATATTAATAATATGAATATTCTTATGTATTTATATATAGCCTTTGCAAATGAAGAATTCTGTGAAAAAAAGTTCTGCAGTTGTTTCCCAAAATACAATAAAAGAGGATCAAATTCTTCATGGTGAATGTGAAACTATATTTCTAAATGTGTTTTCAAATATATCTGAGGAAATAACAACTAAAGAAGAATTGATGTTATGTAAGTGACAACAACCACATTAAGCTATTTATTTTCCTTTGAGTTGCATTTGTATTGTTCTTCTTTTTATTTTGTAATTAGGTGTTATGTAAGTGACAACAACCAGATTAAGCTGTTTATTTTCCTTTGAGTTGCATTTGTATTGTTCTTCTTTTTATTTTGTAATTCCAAGGGCTGATTCTATATATATTATTGATAAATATGACAACAATAATAAACATATTTATAGTAATTATCTAGTTTAAAAAATTTGTTGCATGTTTTCACAATTCAGCCATGTATCATGTAAAAAAATTAAATCTTTAGATAAAGTTACAATATTCTACGATGTATCCTTGCTCAATAGTAGTTGAAACCAAAACCATGGACGGACAAAAAAAAAAATGAACAGAATATGCAAACATTAGTCATTTTTGGATTTTATTTTTAGAAATAAATCAATTGTGACTATAATAAATAACATATATCAATACTAATTATTTTAAATACACGTTTGATTAAAAAACAATATTTTTAATGTATTATATAGTTGATATATTATATTAAAGATAAGAAAATTATAATATCAAATTTTTTACAAAAAGTTTAGTTATAACACTTCAGCTCAATAATAATGTGTCCACGTTTATCAAAGTGTGGTTTTAAACTAACGGTTTTAATTTACAGATGGGTATATAAAAATGAGTTCGTTTTGTTCCTATAGAAATTTAATATGTGCCATATTATCTACAATTTCTAATACTTTGTCTTTGTTCTACCAGCGGAATGCAATTCTACAAAGACAAATATAACTGGGGAAATAGTATTAAATTTTTACTGTTCAGATGGAGATAATATCACATTTACCAATAATTAAGATGATGAATTCTTAACAATTTTTGCCACTTCTGATTGGTTACAAATTGCCATAAATACATCATCAATATTAAAAAGAAAAGAATGGAGGCAACGAATTCCCTTGACTTTAAATTTATCTTTGAGAAGCATTTCATTGATCTGACTTTAGTTTGTGGTAATACAATCATTTGTAATCGAGATGATCTAAAAAAATGAAAATTTAATAACCAAAAGTTTCATATCTACAACTTTCATTTTTAGGTTTTTTCTCTAAATAATGACTTACATTAATTTTGGTATTTTATAGTTGTCCCAACCACCCTTTTTATTTCTCCTCCTATGCCATCAATTGCTCCTTTCTGTATGATGTTGCAAAAAATGACCAACAGTTTTCACCAAGAGCAGATGATAATTTGTACAAATTATTCATGGCTGTCATGACATGATTGTTTGAATTGTGATGAAGGACCATCTGTGAAATAGTGTAATATACAGATATTTTGATAACGACTTAATAATTGTTTGGTAATGAACAAGATGGCATATTTATTATGAAGTAAATGATTGGATACAATGGCATAGGAATGTGTATTGCTCTTATTCCAAATTGCAGCAGTAAATACTATTTTTTTGCTGATGAATACAGTAAGCAGATTAAATTTCACCTTGTTCTATTATGGTGTAATTTTCGCCGAAATCCATCTGATTTTAGAAGAATTAAAAATATTAATGGATGAATAGTTTGTTATTGTTCTACAAATAAAGTTATAATTTTACTTGTATAATCAGTTCATTTTCTAATACATACATACGTGTTCAATACACGCAGTAATATGCATCCCACTAACAAAGATGCTAGTGGTTGTTCAATTCTCTTTGTATTTTCTGTGGGGATTGTCACCAAATGAGTCTATTACATTAGAAACATATTCATCAAACTTTTTTAACCCACAGTTTGCTTTACATTCCATAAACATGTAAGATTAGTTGTTTTGATTACACACAGATCTGTCAACTATGTCTGACATAATGTTAAATTTTTTTTGAAGGTCATTCTTTTAACAGGTTGAAATTTTCATGGTATATGCAAAGACAAATATTGTGGGGAAGATCATTTACTAGCTTGACATAGAATGGCTGCAGATTGTAAAACTTAGATTTCCCCATTATTAAATAAAATGCGATTCCTACATATATACTATATGTCATATCTTCTCTTTTATTTTCTTATTAATAGCAACATCTTTGCAACCTGGAGCCATTCTACTGATATCTTCTCATAATACATTATCACTATTAAACGCTTAACTTTGTTTATTTTAATTCTAAATTTTTTTAAACAACTATTTTCAATCTAAATTATACTTAAAGTAAATAATCAGCAAATATGCGATTCAAACGTTATAAAGCTAAGGAAACTAGTTATCAAGCACAGATGAGTATTTGTCTGTGCATGATATATCAGTGCGTGATGCAAAAAAACAATGTTAAAATGTCATAGAAGAAAAAAAATACTTTTGCCATTTAATTTGGTAAAGTAAAAAAAATCAGTTTCATTGAAACTTTTTAATATTTCTTTTTCTAAATAATTAAATCTTTTAAATCTCGCATGGAAATTTAAAATGCCGTTCACTTTGGCATAAAATTTATGATAATGATGATGGAAGACATCATTATCTTTAAGAATCAAAAAATATAGACCATGAAATTGACTTTAAACATCATTTTTTGTTTTGAAAAAATATTTTATTTATTGTGAAGTTTGAATAATTAAAACAAGAAAAATTTGTCTTTTATAATTTTTCTATTGGATAATCAAAATATCACCTATCTTCTTTTGAATTCCATCTTCCAAATTGAAAAAAAAATTATTTTTTAAATTTTTTTTGACTCAGTGGAATGGAAATGCTTATAGATAATTTTAGATAATAAATTAAGATAAGATAACTTCAAAGCATTTGCTGATTAATTAGTTTCAGTATAGTTTAGTTAGATTGAAAATAGTTGCTTAAAATAATTCAGAAAATAAAATGAACAAAGTTAAGCAATCAATAGTTCAGAAAAAATTTAAAAAGAAACATCCAGAATATCGGATTGCTAAAATTAATTGAATGCAAAAAAAAAAAGAGCTATCATGAGCAACAAGGAAAAAAAGGAAGTGTTCTGAGATAGCGAAACAATCTACATCTGATATTGAACATCCTTTTTTATCTCCACAGAGTTTTACAGAGGCACTTAAAAAAAATTAATTCAGCATTACTTGCAAATTTAAACAAAAGAAAATACCTTTTAAAAGAAGTTTGTAAACGTGAAAATATACTACTATCTGATATTTCAGAATCAGGCCCATTTGCAATTAACATTGTCGGTTTGGACAATGTTAATTGCAAAGTTCTTGGTTTTTATTTGCAAGAAGATACCAGATGAATTTCTTCAGGTTGCAACAATGTTGTTATTAATAAGAAAACAAAAGAGAATATATGACACATTGTTTTATGTTTTATGTAAGGTTTTCAGTTTTAGTAAAAAATTTTTGTTTTCTTTCAGAAACAAATTCCTCATATGCTGATGACCATAGGAGAAGCATATTCACTTTTTAAAAGTTAATTTAAAAGTGGGGAAATCTAAGTTTTACAATTAACATCTTTGTTAGAGGGGTACATATTACTGTGTCAGCAATTGCCAGATTATATACATAATGTGTATATACAGCAACAACAAAGTGAATATTTTTGATTATGTTGCCAAAATGTATCAGCAAATGATCTGATTATACAAGTAATTTTTTCGTCTTCCTGTTGACAAATGTGCTTCTTACATAACTTCGTGGATTCAATCTGCCATGGAATCCTTTATTCCCTCTCAAAGATTCCAATTCAAGCTCATTCTTCTCCATGGTTTTCCTCACATTGTGCTGCTGCAATTGCCAATTGAAACCCTTACTTCTATATCTATCAGCAAAACAATTCTCCAGAAAATAGATGTCTGTTTATTACTGCTAGGAAACATTGTAAAAAGGTTGTCTAACGCCAAAGCGTTTTTACAATGTCAGGTCACGAAATCTCGTATTTCATCACAAAAATTTGGCTCTCGTGACTTCTGGAGAATCTTTAATAGTATCAATAATAACAGCAGTCTGTAATTCCACTTCTTTTGTATGGTTCAGACTTTGTCACCTCACCTAAAGACAAAGCTGAATTGTTTGCTAAGAACTTTTCATCAATATCATCTCTTGATTCCACTAGTTGCGTTCTACCTGATATAGCGGTCAAACAGTTTGATCCATTGCTTGACATCCATATCACTCCAGCTTCTAAATCTAAAGAGATTTCCTGCTTAGACTCTTTTACAGCTTGTGGCCCAGACAGCATACCTGTTATAGTCTTGCAGAAATGTTCTCTGCAGCGGTCATCTATAATTTCAAAACTATTCAACAAATGCTTTTCAGATTTTTGTTTTCCAGCCTGCTGGAAAGCAGCATCTGTTATACCTATTTTTAAAAATTCTGGAGAGTGATACGATTCGTCGAACTACCGTCCCATTAATCTTCTTCCTATCATAAGCAAGGTTTTTGAATCTTTAATTAACACTTAATCTCTCATCTTGAACCTAATAACTTTCTGATCATCAATATTGATTTCGATCTTCTCGTTCTACGACTAACAGTAACAAGTAATAACCGATAGGTTTTATTGTGCATTAGATAAAGGTGGAGAGGTTAAGGCCATTGCTCTTGACATTTCTAAAGCATTTTATAAAGTTTGGCATGCTGGTCTTCTCCATAAGCTTTCTTCTTACAGTGTATCTGAAATCATCTTTAAGATTATTAAATCCTTCCTTTCCAATCGTAGTATAAAAGTTGTTCTTGATGGACAGCACTCTTCTTCTTATTCTATAACCTCAGGGGTACCTCAAAGTTCAATCCTTGTCCCTTTACTCTTTTTAATTTACATTAAGGGTCTTCCAGATATTCTTACATTTAAGGTGGCATTGTTTGCTGATGATACTACCATTTATTTTTGTCATGATAAGAAGCCAACTCTCTCTGATTGAAATTCCAAGCAATCAGAGTGGAGCGATCAGAGGTAGAGAGCTCGATACTTTCTATCTCTGAATTCTATTTTCTATCTCTATAAATCTCAAATCCGGCCTTGTATGAAATATTGTTGCCATATCTGGGGCAGATCTTCTAATGATGCCCTTTCTCTTTTAGACAAGGTACAAAAACGCACTGTAAACATAGTTGGACCTGCTCTTGCAGCCAACCTTCAACCATTATCACATTGTCGTAATGCTGATTCTCTCTCTTTTCTACAAATACTATAGTGGGTACTGCTCTAAAGAGCTAGCGTCTCTCATGCCATTTACTAAAATTCATTCTTGTGTTACTTGTCATTCAATTAAGTCTCATCCTTTTTCTGTTACTGTTCCTAAGTGCTCCAAAAACTCTTATTTGTCTAGTTTTTTTCCTCGATCATCAGTTCTTTGGAATTCGCTTCCTTCATCTTGCCTTCCTGATTCATATAGTTCGCAATCTTTTAAGTGGTCTGTCAATTGTTATCTTACTCTACAATCTTTATCTTTTCTCTTCCAGTAACTTCCAACACTAATTAGTCGTTGCTTGCAACCTTGTTGGAAGCGAAGATGTTTAAAAAAAAAAAAAGAGAAATAAAATTGTCATTTCATTTGTAGTATGACAAAATTTAATAATTTTGTATTAACCTTTTTGGTATATTTATAAATTAACTATTTATGATGATCCTTCATCACAATTCAAAAAATCATGTCATGAATAATTTGTACAAATTATCATCTGCTCTTGTTGAGAACTGTTGGTCATTTTTTGCAACATCATACAGAAAGGGGGCAATTGATGACATAAGTGGAGAAATAAAAAGAATGATTGGGACAACTGTAAAATCTGAAAAAAAATAAGTCGCAGTTTGGAAGATTTTGCGAGCATTGCAATTTAAAGAAATACCAAAATTAATGTAAGTCATTATTTAGAGAAAAAACCTAAAAATGAAAGTTGTAGATTTTTGGTTATTAAATTTTCATTTTTTAAGATCATCTCGATTACAAATGATCGTATTACTACAAACCAAAGTGAGATCAATGAAATGCTTCTTAAAGATAATTTTAAAGTCAAGGGAATTCGTTGCCTCCACTCTTTCCTTTTTAATATTGATGATGCATTTATGGCAATTTGTAACCAATCAGAAGTGGCGAAAATTGTTAAGAATTCATCATCTTAATTATTGGTAAATGTGGTATTATCTCCATCTGAAAGGTAAAAGTTTAATACTATTTCCCCTGTTATATTTGTCTTTGTAGAATTGCATTCCGCTGGTAGAGCAAAGACGAAGTATTAGAAATTGTAGATAATATGGCACATATTAAATTTCTATAAGAACAAAACAAACTCATTTTTATATGTGTGAGTTAAAATCGTTAATACTTCAACCACACTTTGATAACCGTGTACACATTATTATTAAGCTGAAGTGTTATAACTAAACTTGTTGTAAAAAATTTGATATTTTAATTCTCTTATCTTTAATATAATATGTTAGTTATATAATAGATTATTTATCTTTAATATAATACATTAAAGTATCGTTTTTTAATTAAATGTTTATTTCATAAAAATTAGTATTGATATATATGTTATTTATGCAATTTTTGTTTGTTACTTTTTTTTGTCCGTGCATGATTTTGGTTTCAACTACTATTGTAGAGAAAAGATATATCATAGAAAACTGCAAATCTTTAAGAATACTTGTATAGTTACCTATAAAAAACAAAACATCCATCACTTATGCATTTTCTGATAAAATAGGGTTTATTTATAAATTTTTTTGTTGCTTTTTTCTTTTTTTTGTGTGACTATTAAAAAATTAATTTATTCTTTAATGAAGCAATTCATAGCTACCATACTTTGTATAGAAAATATATACATTTAAATAAAAGTAGGTCAACAGATGTAATGTTTCATGCGTGATTTTTCAGAAATGCCCTTCAGTAATAATCTTGATCAATCATTTGCAATAATGTTACCTGGTGTAGAGGATAAGCTTTTAATCTTATCTGATATTGCCGAAATACATAATATCTTCTTTACTCTATGAACATTTTAATTTAATTTCTTTTTTGTTCAATTCTGTGATTCTGCATCAACTGAGTATTTTATTGTTGCTGAGCATTATTAATCTCAGCAATATATATATTATCATCATCACTACATCCACAATTATCACTACATCATCTACATCCGTCATTGCTAATATACTTTGATAGCCATCTCTTTTAATAATTGCGCCAGGATGTGCTTCTGGTACTGAAGGTTTATTAATTTTTGGAGTTTAATTGTTTTCAACTGCTTCTTCTGTCCATTCTTAATTGTTTTCAACTGCTTCTACTGTCCATTCTTCTATGTCCCTATTGCAATTGTTGTGTAGCAATCATTAAAATCCTAAAAGTTTTTTATAATAAATCTTCAAAAATCTAAGCAAATAAAAAATTCCAATCTATTCCAATCTCCCAAAATTGTTAGTCCTAAGCCTTTGCATAGTTATCAATAAAAAAAAAAAAGATTTTGCTATCAGAATATTAGACATCTTTTTTGTTTCTTTAGCTGGAATGAAGTGAAATAAATACTTCTCCCCACTGGAACAAAGAGTGTAATGTTCTTCCATAACATTAGCAGATTTAGCAGCACTGTTTATCAAGTCTTTTTTGCTCATCAAAAAATATACACTTTATAATTTCTGCTAATAAAAGAAAAGTTCTGAATTCGATCTCTACCACATTCCTAATAGTACTGCATGGTAATAAAAATATATTTTTTCATTCACAACTTAATCTCTAGCTCTCCAAACTTTTATGTGACCAGTTATTTATTAACAATTATTTTTATTATTGATCAATACAGCAATCGTTTTAAGTTTAAAAATATTTTTTACCTAACATCTATAATTTCGCTTGATATATATTTATTTGTTTTTATTTATTTGAAATTAAGCAATAATAGTATCTATACTGAAATCAAATTTTATCTTTAAAAATTTTAATGTCTATAATTCCATATTTCATTAGAGCTGGGGCTAGGGCTCAGTCTCTATAGTTTTAAAAAAGTTTCTCTGTCAATCTCTTTAATCATTTTTCAGAAACATCAAAAGTCAATATTACTAAACATACTTATACGACATTATTGTAAAAATTAATCATAATAGTTTCTTCTTAATAATTTCTTATAAATAAAGTTTCTGAAGTTTAAAGTTTTCATTAAGTTTTGCAATTATAAACAATGTTTGCTTGAATAAAAAAATTTGTACGAATAAATAAAGTTTGCATGAATAAATAAACTTTGCATCAACAAATAAAATTTGCATTAATAATTAAAGTTTACATTAATAAAGTTTTCACGAAAAATATAAAGTTATAAAATTTATATGATATTTGATTAATTAATTTTTTCGAAAACTATTTTTTAATTTTTACACAAATTATTTAGTGTTGCAGTATGCTGGATTTAATCCTTCACATAAAACCATTGAAAAGTATTGGAATAAAACAACTGGTATGAAGTTAGTTTGAATTCATTATTTTACAAAGTTATAATATATAAATTATTATTTTATATTCCTAAGTTTTAACATAAAAAAGGTTTTATGAAATATATTTATTTCTTATAATTCAATCACTTCATTGAAATGTAAATTATCTCTTAATTTACATTTCATTTCTACCTTCATCCATTTCATTCAAATTATAAATAATCTTTTAGAGTTTCTTACCTTCAACCACTTTATTGAGATTATAAAGCAAGAACGAAATGTATCAAAAGTTGACATCTTAGGAGCATTTAAAAGAATAGATCAAAATAATGATGGATATTTAGACCATCAAGAGCTTATGGAAATTTTGACAAAAGTATGTATTAACAATTTTTATTATTTAAATTTATATTATTATTTATATTTTCTGTGAATGAACTATATGGAAATTACAAGTTAGTATGTCATAATCAAGTTGTAATTTTTTTTTCATCCAATCATATTGTTGCAGTAAAATGTTTAGTAATTTGTTCTAGTAATTTATTTTTGTAATTTGTTCCAATAATTTGTTTCAGTAATTTGTTTTAGTAATTTATTCTAATAATTTGTTCCATTAATTTTTTTCGGTAATTTGTTGTAGCATTTTGATAAAATGTTTATTATCAATATTCACTAGTGGCTGATCTGTTTGAAGAACAAAATTAAACTTAGGTTTTTTTAAATCTTAATATTTCTTTAAAATCTTTATATTTCTTTTTAACTTAAACAATATGAGTGAGAGTTTATAAATGCATCTTTGTTAGATAGATTATCAGTTGTTTTACTTGTAAGTAAAATTTTTTTTATTATTACAATGGTTACTATACAAATGGTTTGCCATTGAGCTGGTATTTTTATTGTATTTAGCTCTTTGTTGCAAATTTTGTAATGAATCTTTATATTTATACGCTGTTATTGTAGAGTCATTGTTTTTTACAAAATAGTTTTTATGAAAACTGCTATTAAACATTTTTTTTTCTTACCAAGTCAAAGGAAAAGTAAAATCTTCATTGTTCTCTTGTGTTTTGTCTTTCTTTTAAGTTTAGCCGCATACCTTTTAATTGTGTTCATACTAGATTTCATTTGCGCTGAAGGATTTATTTAACCAATTGTTATTACTAATAGCCCTGCAAAAATTATACTAATAGTTAATGTCTAGAGGAAGTTAGACCCATCGTTAATAATGTCAATTAGGGATTGTTGTGTACCAATCATTACATAGTTTAATAATAAGACTAAATATAATATATGAATATTAGTAGTAATTAAAAAAGTACTACTATAATAGTATAATAATAACCATAGTTAAAACAGAATAATGATAAATATTATAACAAAAATATAGTAATATTAACAATAATAGTGATTAAGAGAATACTAATACAAATATTTCAGATTGAGAAAGATTAAAATAATAAATTTAATAAAAGATATTTAAATTAGTAATATTTGCTCAGAATTAGGGTTTGAAATAATATGCTATAGAAAAGTATAAGATTTATGAACAATATTTTTCTAAAAATAGGTGAAGGGAATAGTTTTTTATTTTGAAAGTGATTTAACAAAATTTAGTAGGGAAGAGACATTGCTTCATATTTTTATGCTTTTATATTGTATGGATTCATAGCTGTAACAAACAGTTTAATATATAGGTACAAATATTTTAAACTTGCAGATGCATAATTGAAATTTTCCTTTGATTAAAATATGTAAAGATTTAAGTTTCAAACAAATAGGCAATATATATATATATATATATATATATATATATATATATATATACATATACATATATATATATATATATATATATATATATATATATATATATATATATATATATATACACATATACATATATATATATATATATATATATATATATATATATATATATATATATATATATATATATATATATATATATATATATTTATGTATATATATATATATATATATACACATATACATATATATATATATATATATATATATATATATATATATATATATATATATATATATATATATATATATATATATATATATATATATATATATATATATATGTATATATATATATATATATATATATATATATATACATATATACATATGTATATATATATATACATATATGTAAAGCTATATGTAATAATAGCTGTATAAAAATTATATATACTTTTTAAAAGGAACAAAATAACTTCTATATATGCACAGTAGCTTATTGATGAAAGTGTAAATATACAAACAGAATAATAAAAATAAACAATCAGATTTTTTTTTTAGAGAATTTTATTTAAAGAAAAAACTAATAGCAGAATATGTAAGTGAACAAGGAACATTTACATTTTCTGATGAATAGTAATTATAAAGAACTTTAATAATTACCAATTAAATGTATTACACTAAACACAATTGATGATTTGCACTAATTAACCTTTTCACTTTCTTCAGTACCAATGCTCCGTATGTCATAATTTTAGAGATGGTGTCTCGATAAAAATACTCATCTTGGGCAGATGTTAACTGCATTCTGCTACTGTCTTGTAGAAGACCTCCTAGGCAAAGACTTTAGAGGTAAGCAGAAAAATTCTGCTAACCAGCCTCGAACCCCTTCTTCATCTATTAGGCTGGCGTAGATGTAACCTGTGTTACATTGTTTCCTGCCTAGGATGATGAATGCTGGATCTCCTTGACTCTACTCATAGAATTTTGCTTATGCCTCCTTGATAATGGCTATGCAACTCTTCCTGTTATCTCCATATGAGGGTACAGCTCTAAAACTCAGTTTAATGGTTCTGAGGCCGGCTGGTAGTAAGGTTTCCCGAACTCTGTGGTAGCTCTCAGAGAGGCTGATTCCATCAACAGCTAAAAAATATCAGAGTATTAACAGTGCCATGTTGCGCATGGATGGTGTCCCTGTTAATGCTTTTGGTGTGCATTGTCAAGGCCACATAAGGAGCCCTATGTCACGGCTTAGGGTTAATTAACAGGACTGAGACAACTGCATAGCTCATTGATTAGGAGGCTGTGCTCTATCTATGAATGAGTCTAGTTCTCATTAAACCCAAATCATGACCAAAGTAACCAAAAATTTAAAACCTAAAAAACCATTCCCACCACCTAAATATTTTAATATATCTTTTACAAATATTCACGGTCTACGAAGCAACTTTCCATCAGTTGAGTCTTACCTTCTGCAAAATTCACCAGACTTGCTTGCACTCAGTGAAACAAATTTAAGTTCTGCAATTCCTTCTTCAGATGTCAGTGTTGATGGGTACTATCCTTTGATTCGTAAAGACTCCAATAGTTACATGCTAGGTTTAGGGGTATACATACGCATTAATTCCCCTATTTGTCGTGAAATCAGGTTCCAATCCTTTGACCATTCTTTTATGTGCTTTCGCCTAGCACCTCTTCACTCTATCACCTTTCTCTTTGTTCTTTATCGTTCTCCTTCTTCCCATGATTGCACTCTTTTAGAGTTATCTCTGATCAAATTGACCATGCCCTCTCTCTTTACCCCTCTGCCAATATTGTTGTTGTTGGTGATTTTAATGCCCATCACACTGAATGGTTTGGCTCTAACACCACTGATCCTGATGGCACTAAAGCCTTTAACTTCTGCGTTTCTCAATCTCTTACTCAGATAGTTAACTTTGTGACTCGTTTTCCTGACAACCCTAATCATTTACCTTCACTCCTTGACTTATGTCTTGTCTCTGACCCTAGCTTATGTTCAGTTTCTCCCTTTTCTCCCTTAGGCGGTTCTGACCATGCAATGATCTCTATAAATCTTTCTTCTCGTACTTCTTTTTTGGGCTCACCTTATCATCGCATTACCTACTACTACCCTAAAGCTGACTGGGATTCCTTTCGTGATTTTCTTCGTGATGGTCCTTGGGCTGATGTTTTTTCTCTCTCAGCTGACAAATGCGCCTCCTACGTAACCTCCTGGATTCAGGCTGGAATGGAAGCTTTTATTCCTTCTCGTCGGTTTCAAGTCAAGACACATTCTACTCCATGGTTTTCTCCTTCTTGTGCGGCTGCTATATCCAATCGTAATCATTTTTTTCATCTTTTTTAAAAGAACAACTCTCTTGAGAACAAACGGCTATTTATTATTGCAAGAAATCGATGTAAAAAGGTGCTTTCTGATGCTAAACTCCATTATTCTCAGTTCACTAAATCTCGCATCTTATCGCAGAAGCTAGGCTCTAAAGACTTTTGGAAAGTTTTCAACAGCATTGTTAACAAGGGTAGATCTAACATTCCATCTCTTATTCATTGGACTGATCTTATTACCTCTCCCAAGGATAAGGCAGAACTATTTGCAAAGAACTTTTCTTCTAATTCCACTGTTGAATCTTATGGACATTCGCTTCCTTCCATTCCAGTCAAACAGGTTGACCCATTGTTAGACATTCAAATCACTCCGGCTTCTGTTGCTAAAGTCATTTCTCAATTAAACTCGTCTACAGCTTGTGGTCCAAACAACATTCCTGTCACAGTCTTGCAGAATTGTTCTCCAGAACTTTCTTCAATTCTCTCTAAACTATTTAACAAGTATTTGACTGAGTCTTGTTTTCCTGCTTGTTGGAAAATGGCATCTGTGGTTCCAATATTCAAAAACTCTGGAGAAAATTCTGACCCCTCCAATTATCGTCCGATCAGTCTTCTTTCTGTTATAAGCAAGGTCTTTGAGTCTTTGATCAACAAATTCCTCACATCTCATCTTGAGTCAAATAAACTACTGTCAGACAATCAATACGGTTTTCGATCCTCTTGCTCTACGGCCGACTTGCTAACTGCTGTAACTGAAAGATTTTATCGTGCATTAGATGGAGGCGGTGAGGCTAGGGCTATTGCTCTCGACATATCTAAAGCTTTCGACAAAGTTTGGCATGCTGGTCTTCTCCATAAGCTTGCGTCATATGGTGTTTCTGGGAAAGTTTTTGAGATTATCAAATCATTTCTTTCTAACCGGTTTATTAAAGTCATCCTTGAAGGCCAACACTCTTCTTTATTTCCAGTAACTTCTGGGGTTCCCCAAAGTTCCATCCTGGGCCCTGTTTTGTTTCTTATCTACATAAACGATCTTCCTGACAACCTTTCATCTAAAGTAGCTCTTTTTGCTGATGACTCAACTTTATACTCCTGTCTTGACAAAAAGTCTTCTCTTTTCGATCGCCTAGAACAAGCAGCTGATCCTGAATCTGATCTCACTTCAGTAATAGATTGGGGTTCACAGTGGCTTGTGAATTTCAACTCTAAAAAAACCCAATTGCTTACTGCAAACAACTACCGTAATATGGTCAACATTCCTATATT